CTTCAGGATGGAGTTCTGTGCCGTAAATGGGAAAATGTTCGGGGAGACAGCTGTCATTTGCAAATGGTCGTCCCTAAAGCTAGAGTACCGGATGTTCTACAGCTGTACCATAATGATTGTTCAGGAGGCCATCTGGGAGTTAAACGAACTCTACTGAAGATCCGAGAATGGTTTTACTGGGTCTACTGTCGAAACGATGTCGAGGACTGGTGTCGCAAATGTACAAGTTGTGCGGCTGTAAAGGGACTCTTAGACGTCAGACTCGTAGTAGAGGTGCATTGAAGTTGTACAATGTTGGTGCACCATGGAAGAGAATAGCCATTGACGTGCGGGGCCGTTTCCGGAAAATGAAAGTGGTAACAAGTATTTCATGGTTGTGATGGATTACTTCACTAAGTGGCCGGAAGTCTTCGCCATTCCAAATCAAGAAGCTTCAACAGTTGCAGATAAACTAGTTCATGAAGTCTTCTGTCGTTTTGGAGTACCTTTAGAGATTCACAGCGATCAAGGAAGGAATTTTGAGTCTCAAATATTCCAGGAAACTTGCTAAGTTATGGGTACTCATAAAACAAGAACGACTTCTTATCACCCGCAATCTGATGGAATGGTAGAACGATTTAAGCAGACATTGGAGAGGTACCTAGCAAAAGTTGTAGACAATCGGCAACGAGATTGGGACAAGCACATACAACCGTTTTTGTTGTCATATCGAAGCGCTGTTCACGAAAGTACATCCGTGACACCAGCTTTCGACATTTTTTCGACAGTGGACCCAGTAAAACCGTTCTCGGATCTTCAGTAAAGTTCGTTTAACTCCCAGATGGCCTCCTGAACAATCATTATGGTACAGCTGTAGAACGCACTCAAGACGGGACGCAAACCCTGGAACACCGATATCACGCCCGAACAACATCCCATCTGAGCTATTACGACCGTTAGGGTGTAGAATTAGCAGCTCTAAACCGGTCACAAGATGTGGGTTTTCACCATCAAACATATTAAGATTTAGAAATCCTTGATGATAGTTAACATTTGGTAAATTATATAAAGGTTGCATTTCACCAAAGCACCATGTGATCTGATTAAAATCACAATTAACTTACATATTTATTATACTTCTGTAACTGATTTTATGAAATTTGTTACAAAATTTGACTTCCCACATCCACTGGATCCTGCCACAATAGAAGTAAACGGATGTATAAAGTGAAACATTACACACGTCTAAAGTTCTAAGGGGTGAAATATAAAATGAAAGTGTTTGTGTAGGTATAATTAATATATATATATTGTGTACTATATCTAATGTTTTTGGGAAATCAAACAAAATTTCTAATTAATTTAAAATTTTATTTTCAAGCAATAACCACTTGTAAAAAACCCACACTTAATCACAAGAACAATGTAAAATTTTGTGATTATTTTCTGCAAATATATGATTATTACACAAATAACGTTTGTTTAAATTTATGACACTTACCAAATCATTGTATTTTGGACATTTGTATTCTTCAATATTAATCCGTCAACATTTTTAAAAATTGTTTTCCTGCTGAACCACCTTTGTATGCGATCACTTCGTCTTTGCACAAATTTCTAATATACCAATTTAATATGGGTATGTTCTCTTGTTTGTAGGCACATTTTAATTCTTCGGTCACGTCAAAATATGGAATGCCGTGCACGTGTGTTTCGCAATAACGAACAGGTTTTTTGTCTTTTGGCAACAAATAATTGAAAGGATAACTTGCCGAAACAAATAATGTTCGATAAACGCATAATTTTTATTAGATAGTTTTACGTCTAGAATAGCCATTTCTCTACATTGAAAATGTTTATGAGGATATGTAATGTAAAATCCGTCCATGTCGATGTCTAATATTTTTTAGATTTTGTGTCATTTTGAACCAAAAGCTAAAAGTATTTACACGTGACTAAAAATATGTTTGTCCCAACAAACTCACAGACATAGATCCACTGCGGTCACGACCATACACTAACTCCATGACTGCAGCTGCTCGGTCTTATATAGTACCAGTAAGTAATAATTCTAATCTAAAGAATTTCTGCAGTGGAACTGATAGTACGAGTAACTTTATGTATCAACAAGCTTATCTCACATTCTGTTGCTTATCTCAACATTCCTTCGTGTTGCGTCTTGTTCAGTGTATTGATGATTCAAATACGACTACGTATAACACAAAAGAATGCAATTTAATATTTATAAATCACTATAATTGATCATTCCTATGTTAGTCATTGAGTAGATTGGTACTGTAATAATCTACTAATAGCAGTAATATCATGGATACACTGTGTACAACATCTGAAAAAGATTCACCCCACTCTAGAAAATAATGTTTATGCTGCTAGTAGACTGCCTATGTATACCCACGTACCAACGTATGTAATATGCAATTTGGATACAGATGATAAACCAGGGTCACATTGGGTAGCTTTATATATCGATACGAATGACCGTCGCTCAATATTTTGATTCATATGGACGAGCACCTGTACGATATCATCTAGAGTTTTTAAAAAGGAATTGTAAAAGATGGAACTGGAATGTTGATAGGATTCAGAATGAGTGGACTTCAGTTTGTGGCGAATATTGCTTAATGTATTTGCTATATAATTTTCTGGGATGTTCAATGCATAGTTTTACGATTATATTTACAGGGAACACATTGTACAATGATATTTTAGTCGATGAGATGTTTCGCTCCTATTTTATAGACAATAAGTAATAAGATTTTGTATTTTGTAAATAAAAGTTGTAACAAAATTAGGTAATGTGTTTTATTGATGATTCAGAATAGCGTTGTAGATAGGAACAAAGAGTATAATACAATAGCACTGATAAGCCGACGCATACACCGAGGAAAAAATAGATAATGACGGTATTCAATGAACAATAGATAAATAGATAAGAACAATGGGGCGCTAATGATGGTGGAGGCCCTCACCGGATGCCAATTAGATAAGAGTTAATTGATCTGCACATCTCCAGAACCGTGTATCCTACGCAAAAACGGACCGCAGATTCGTGATCAGAGCATGCCAAAACCTTTTTTTTTTAGAATTGTGAGTGGACGAACGTTGTACCACTTCTGATTCAGTGAGCCAGAAGTGGTACTACCTTTCTACTTGCAATTTTGTATGGAAATAAAATATTTTGGTATTTCTTAAAACAACCTCTTACCGGGGGAGTGAAAAGGGGGCAGATAATGTTCAATTTGAAGGAAGAAAATATTTTTAATTATTTAAAGTTATTAAATAACAAAATTTGCTTCTCACGGTTTTAAAACATCCTACACAAATTTTACAAAAAATTTGTATGAAAAATATTGTATTAGATCTACATCTCTGACCCCTGGATGCAGATATGCGTGAAATTGGAACAATAACTTCCTTTTATTATGTAGGCTAAGAAAGAAGTCTTGAAAAATTAAAATCCTTAGATAGTAAAATAAGGTTTTAAGAATGTTTTTACGGGGTGATTCGTATTGGCATAGGGAAAAATTAAATGATTATTGTAACTTTAAAATTAGTACGAATACTTTAGGATTAAATTATTCGTATAGTGTAGATACTTAGCTTTTTTTTGTCATTTTCCTAATATCTCACCTTAAAGTGTTAAAACCAGGATGACATGTTTTGCGCGAAAAAATGGTTTTTAATTGCATGGTGGTGGGGAAATCCGTAAAACGAAATTATGATAATTTTGAATAATACTTATTATAGAAATTTACAAAAATCTGCCCCTATAGATCATTATATACAAAATATTAAAAATTGTCTATTTATTATTGTGTCCGAGTTAGTAATCCGACAAAAATACAGCGAGATCAGATACAGATAAAACAGCTTTACGTACTTTCTGAAGCACAGGAATGAAACACCGCTAAACTCTTGACTACGGCCTGCTACTGTGAATTTCTTGAATGAAAACCCAACTGATTTTAAGCCCGATGACACCTATTACTTAAAGGTCAAAAAACTTTTCTAGGTTGAGGTTGTTTTTCATTTGTTTGCAGGATGAGACAAAATATAGATACTTACGCAATTTCATTTGTTTTGTTAGTGTAGGTAATTAGATTTAGGTAGGCATTGGATTGTAGATTTGATTTCAAATTTTTTATTCAATATCAATAATTAGTGATGGTACTTGTGTATTTAGGGCAATATCTTAGTTGTTGTATGGAAACCAAGCATTGGCTAGAGAAATTCGGGAGCAAATTAGGGTTTAAGTTACTGCGGTTATTTTGTTGTTTATTTACAAAATAAAACACATGCGTATAGTTTGCCCTATTCGTTTTTTGATTCGTTTGTGGGTCCGTTTATTAGTTCGTTCGTTTGTTTGTCTAATTGAGCGACTAACTGAATGTTTTTATTCAGATTAGTGTCTTTTTAAGTCTACGCGGCAGTTTAATTTACAAATAAACCATCATCACTTAGAATAGCAAAATTACTCTTTCCACGCGAACGGAGTCGCGGGCACGTCTAGTATTTACAATATGAAACACAAGCGTATAGTTTACTTAATTATTTTGTTGGTTCGTTTGTGGACCCGTCTATTTGTTCGTTCGTTAGTTTGTCTGATTGCCTGACTAACTGAAAGTTTTGATCCAGACCAGTGTCTTTTTAGATCTTGGCGCCTATAAAAAGTACAAATTAATCATGATTAATACAAAAGTAGGCACTAACTCCAAGCGAACGCAATCGCGGGCACAGGTAGTTCTTAATTAATGAATTATAAATAAAGCTTGCCCGAGCGAGGTACAATGCGCATGTGCTACAGCCTGAAGATGTGCGGGAAACGGGAATGGTCATGCGCTCTACGGTCGTCTGGATATGGAGCCTTTTGCGCCTGGTGTTCAATCAGACACTCACTGTATTCGCGACGCCGCGCGCCGTGCAACCCCAAACTCCATTGCAACATACGGCAGTTGTTTTATGCTTAAATTGTGATCGAAGAGAATAAACATTATTACCAGAAGAAGTAACAGGTACGTTAGCTCTTAATAGTTAGTCTTATTAACTAGAGATTAGAATGCACAAAGGTGCAATTAGATATTTTCTTATAACTTTGCCACTAAAGCTTCCCATATGGTAGCTCTGTTGAAATATATTTGATTTATTTTTTAATAATCGTTTGGCAAAAAAGATATTTTCTTTTTTATAGTCTAAAGAAGCTATATATTATGGACAAATTACTTTGAAATCATATATTTTTTCTTTTATAATATAGACAGCTGGATGACAAAAATGTTTATAATTTGTATTCGATTTCCAAACAAGGCAAATATTGGATTGGAAATAGTAGTTTTTTAATAATCAAGAATTGACCTAGACGTAAGGTATTATTAATATGGAATGTAAAACATATAATAATAATGTCCTCCAGACCGAATTTCGTTCACGGCGGCCTGCCTCAACGGAGGCTAGCCATCGGCGCAGGACAGGATTATAGTGCCCAAGTGTATGCGCAAGCACAGGTGCACTCTCTATTTCCTCACTCTCATATCCGATGGGACGGTAAACCGACACGACCGGAGAGAGATCGGGCGCAGGACCAACGGCGTTGCATGCTTTCCGAGGCACGGGGGGGAGACACCGCCAACTTCCTGACTCCGGGCAGCTACTGAGAATTTCTTGACAGAAAAACTCAATAATTGATTTTTTTTGACCCGACCCGGGTTCAAACCCAGGACCTCATGATCAGCAGTCGCACTAATACAACCACTAGACCAACGAGGCAGTCATTAAACATATACTATATATAAAACATATACATATACATATTACGCATATCCATATTCGTATTATTTTTCGTCTCATTTTCGTATTATATACATATCCGTATGAGACTGGTGCGCTGTTACATATTCAGTGTTCTACTTTATGGGGTCGAAAGTTGGACCTTAACCTCGACATTACTCGTATGTACAAAACTTAAAGCGTTTGCAACAGACGTATGCTCTGCATATGCTAATATGCGCCGAATGAATAAGAAGTTAGAGATAATGAGGGCCACGAAGGAGAGGAAGCTGCAGTATTTTGGATACATAACGAGAGGACACTAATATCGTACTATACAGTATATATGTCGATTTAAAATATTTAAAGTTAAAATAGCGTAGTATACAATACTACGCTTGTTAATAACTATAATTTGTAAATAGAGGACCTAAAGTGAAACTCGTTACGAAGAGTAAAAAACTTTCATACAAATCAAACGCGCAACATATGAACGATATTAAAAGGTTTTACTTATTACTATAACATTTAATTTTTACTAAATAACAAATATTTATTTTTACAACAATAAACATATGAATTTTAGCAACGGAGTTTATTACAGCTTTGTATTTGATACTAGCGGTATGGATTTGCAGTTTTTATTCGATTAAACACTTCTAGAAATAAATAATTTTTCATGGAGAAAGAAAGTTGAAAATTGTATCAACACGAAAGTTATTTCAATCCAAACCTCTACCAAATGATCTCGAGAGTACCCGGGTTCAATTTCAGGAATGAGAAGTCAAATTTTCTTTTTTCTTTTTTTTCAATTTAATATTAGTTAGTGTTTTAGTATATTAAGATAAATTCACATCCATATACCTACGCATACATGCTCGGAGAGAGGTGTGTCAGGATCGTGCTTTGGAAGTCTGTAGTCTCTGCCTACCTCTCTGGGTGACAAGCGTGAGTGTTTATGTTTATGTAAGATTAATTAATTAAACACTATGAGTCAGGTAAACCAGAAAACCACTGGCTGATCGACCCCGAGGAAATCCGTATTGGCGGTCACTAATAAGCTGGTGATCCTCAAGGTATCGCATAAGTTGGCAGTTTAAAACGGATACCGTTATTTTGGAGGACAAAGAGGTGATGACGATAGGCCTGTAGTTAGATGGATCTATTTTAGGGATCGGGTCGACGAAAGCCGTCTTCAATGATTTTGGGACTACGGTTCGGGAGTAGGAGTACCGGAAAAGTCGCGTTATACCCGATGGCAACTCTGGAGCACACATCCTTAGCACAATTGGGGGATTCCGTCAGGCCCACTCCACTTGTGGATGTCCAGGGAGAGGATTGCTTTGCGGAACGAGCGCTGTGTGACTCGCACGTCCGGCACGGAGCACTCACACCGCGGGATGGTCTGCGGTGTGCTTCCCCGTCATCGAGAGTCAATCTGGCAGTAATAATTTTCTTGGTCTTATTTCAAATTTCCTGCGCGGCATACTCTACTCTGAGCATACGTATGTGTGTAATTACTCAAAGACTCTGAGCGACTGTATATTCATACATGCTTCTATTCGTTGGCATTTATAGTATGAATATAAAAAATGTGTTCTTTATTTAATGAAATGTATTTGTAAAACATGTTATACTTAAATTATAGAAACTCAACAATGGCAAATCTCACATTCATACATGCGCGCAATATGCTTAAGAAGTGCCTAGTGTATCATCATTATTACAATCATCGTCATCATCATTACTGCAAGTTAGAAGTTCACTGCTAAATATAGGCCTCTTCCAAAGAACGCCTCAAATCACGGTCATGGTTCACCTGCATCCATCGGCTTCCTGCATATTTTACCTACAAGGTCGTCACTTCATCCAGTGGGGGCCTGTCCATATAATATTGAAGGGATACAACATCCTCCGTGTTGAAATCTTCCGTGTACTTAATCGGTTTAATGATGAAATTACTTTTTTTTACGCCTAAAGCAAATATGGGCAACCCTCCGGAAAGCGGGGGAGGGAGGCGGTGAATGCCCATAGCATACCACGCAGCCGGCTGCGTGGTTATGTGGAGACTTTTACCCACTAAACACCGCCTTTATGGATTGGCTTACCGATCTGACTAGAGATCTCTAAGCCGTATACGAACGCGACCCTCCTAGGCAGAAAGGAGGGCGCAATGAAATTACTCCATATACTAATATTATCAATACTATTATCGTTTAGGTTGAAACTGTGATGTAGTTTATAAAATATAATCAATAGTCCTAAGAAATAAAACTTCGAAAAAAATTAGTCTATGCGAACGAAGAAAAAAAAGGAAAATGAAAAAAATAGAAATATAGAAAAATGTCCTACCACCTAATAAAAAATACATAATTCATTTTTAGTACTTTTGATTTTGTAAACTAGATGGCGCTAGTGATATATTTTTATCGCGAGATTATGTTTTCATAGCAGAATGCATAGTATGCCTCTGTAAACGATATTCATGCGTCTGCACCCTCCTTTCTGCCAAGGAGGGTCGCGTTCGTATACGGCTTAGAGATCTCTAGTCAGATCGTAAAGCCAATTCCTAAAAGGCGGTATTTAGTGGGTAAAAGTCTCCACATAACCACGCAGCCGGCTGCGTGGTATGCTATGAGCATTCACCGCCTCCCTCCCCCGCTTTCCGGAGGGTTGCCTATATTTGCTTCGGGCACAAAAAAAATATTCATGCGTGGATAATCACTTGGTTCTGGAATGTTTTTAAAGGTAACGATACCTATTCGATACAAAGTATACAAAGTATCGAATAGGTATATAATAATTATCGCTAAATAGACGTAAGTCGTGGTTGTAAAATTGAGTACCAGGGCTTCCTAGTAGACATGTGCCAATCATGCATGATTCGTTCGTTTGAGCTGGTAGCTGGTACACTTAAAAGTATTGATGGTTCATTCATTTGTTTTTGACTGTACCAGTACAAACAATTGACGGTACCTTTTTAACCCGCGATTTTCTTAAATTGTGAATGAGCCGCAAACCGACCGAATCCCGAATGATCTGAACAAACAGGCGAATCGAATAAACAGTGCAGACTGCAGAGTATAAGGAGTATTTATTATTTAAGGGTTTTTTTATTATAATATTGTTACCTAAATTAAAAATAAATTATTTTACATTTTATTTTATTATATTTATTTGATACATGTATGAGTTAAAAATATCATTTCGTAAAGTTTACTAAAAATAACACTTCAAAAGATTTCATGACAAATGATTTATTTAATACGATAGTTTTCAACCACCTTATATTAGTATAAGTAAAAGTTTAATTTTGTAACAAATAAATGTTACAATTCCCATTTTTAGACATGTAAAGTAAGATGAAATTGAATATTGTTAGGAATGAAATTTAAGAATAAACAAATTTATTAAATATATGATAACTTGAGATTTTTGTGTTTATGCCATTTAGCGTCGATCGTCCGTACCACCTTACAAGTCAATAAGTTTTAGTTCGATAAAATGACTTTATTACCCATAGCATGTAGTAGATGGCGCTATTTAAAATAGAAAATTTTCGGTTCCTAATGGATCTCACAGGCTCACGAAGTACTGGAGCCCGAAATGATCCATTTGAATGATCGATCCGAATGTACTAGTACGCGTGACGAAATGTAATAGAATGATTCGGTCGCAAGAAATGAATGAATGACACATGTCTACTTCCTAGTAGAGGTGAATCTTACTAGGTACATTTTGTATTAAGTGCACCTAGTCCAATTCCGTATAAATACTCGATCCAAATACCTATTCCACCTAGTCCATAAAGTATCAAAGTATGGAGTGTAGAAGTAAGGAGTACAGACTGTGTATTAAGAAGTGTCCATAGAAAACCGTTAAATAAGGGTGGCGCCACTATAACTACGGGGTAAATTTTGAAGAACGCACCGAAAAATATTTATGGTATAGACGACTTTTTCGAGGTTATATTTACGAAATAAAATTATTTTAGAGCTACTGAGCAGTTTAGCAGCACATTTAAACTGTCGACAACTGCTAAGTTCATTTCATCCCAGTAGCTACTTCAGCTCTGTTGTGGAGAGTTTTTGAACTGATATTTACTGCTTACAGATGGCCACTTTTTCAACTATTCTACTATGGGAGTTGGTACTCCTTACATCTAAACTTCATAGTATCAAGTACGCATAATGTTTAGTATTGTTGGAATAGGATACGCTATAGTTGGTTTGGTTTTTTACTTTTGTTA